TCTTTTTATCTTCATCTTTTACACTCGTTGCCATCGTTTTGCTTCGTCTACCACGTATTTTCTCTTTCTCGCCAACAGCTCCCCCCAACCGACTATTTACATCTCTCTCTCTCTTCTTTGACCGCACGTAACACTACTTAACGTGTCTCACACTGTGAAAGCGCACTCACTCCGTGCTAATGAACATCTTAATATTCACGTCAAGCTCTTCCATCTTTCCGAGCGTATAACACCTGCCTATCGGTCCATTTCGCACATACGTAAGAAGACTATTCTTAGGCAGGGAGATTTTGTCGCCGTCGTTTATGCCAACTACCGTCATATGCTTCAAACTCCGAACGGATATTCTAGCTTTAGAAAGAGACCAGAGAGAGAGAATAAGAGAAAAAGAGATAGGGAAGCTGTTAACCTAACACTCGATCCAACACTTTAGGGATTTCTTTCGATCGTAACGCAAATAAACATTGTCACTTCTGGTCCCCGTCCATAATTCATATAAATAGTGAAGCTTCCCGTTTCTTTCTTTCTTTCTTTCTTTCTTTCTTTCTTTCTTTCTTTCGTTCCTTCCTTCCTTCCTTCCTTTCCCAAAATCCTTACTAACATTTAAACTCATAGACCTATAAAATCACCCCTCGTGATTTAACTTATTCTCCGAAAGAAATCGGATCGTTTTACAGGAAGGAAAGAAGGAGGGTGGGAGGGAAAAAGACGAAAAAAAAAATGGAAGAACCTGAAAGAAGCGATGTCTTTTATGGCCGGCAACGGTAGAAAATCGAAAAACTTTCGACTCTCGGGAATCATAGCGATAAACGTGATCGATAAAGGCCGTTGATATGTGAACGACATCACCGGCAGCATCGCGCGGAATCGTGCTCTGGAGATATTTTTGCAACGTCAAGATCGTCATTTCGTATTATAAAGTAGCGAAGGACGAATTTCGGTTTTCTTTTTTTTTCCTTTTTTTCTGTTTAATCCGATGGGAATTTTGAAAATGTCAATTTGCAAATTATTTAATCGTATAACATTTAATAAAATATAGATTGTATGACATGCAAATGTAAAAAGCATATTCGTAAATGACGAGAAAATTCTTAATTTAAAAAGCAATAATAATGAGATAGTTTTGTACGGAAACATTTGCGTGGATGTAACATTTGGAGAATAGTCTTTTCTCTATAAAAAGCCGAGGGCAACATGATAGGACATCTGTCCATTATGGAGAAAAGCCAAGAGCTTTGGCTCGGAGGATCATTTCCCTGATGAGTGGCGATCAGTTTCGTGGAACCGGTCCTGTATTCGCTTTATTCAGTTGGCATCGATCAGCCACCACCGCCACCGCCACCGCCGCACTGTGCTCTTATCTAACTCAATCCAATTCGAAAGTCGAAGAAATTCCAACGTAAGGAAGCAATATCGAGCGATTTTATCTGAATGGCATTCTCTCGGTGGTATATAGCTTGGGCATTTAAATAAATCCTCCAATAAACTAATGTCAATATATCTGTCTCTCTCTCTCTTTCTCTCTTTCTCTCTCGATGAAAACGAGAAATACTTGTTAACATTTTTGCGAAAATAAAAATTTGAAACGAATTAGTTGTAGTAATGAAAATAAACTTTCATTCCTGCCAAGTTGAACGAGAATTTCTATCTCGTATTGAAGAAGAAAGAAAACATTTATGACCACTCGAGAGTGTTCATTCACGAGAATAAAATGTAACTATTAATTCTAATCGAATTATATATCATAACGCAACAATGTTTTAACATTTTATTTCGGTAAAGATAATTCGTCGTCGTACGTAAGTTCTAATAGGGTAAACGGCGCAAGAAACTCGACGTTATTAATATATCGCGTTGAGGGGGAAAAATCGTCCGGACAGGTCATTCCAAAGAATTAAGGGAATGGTATCATTTGGCAAAGTTATACCGTTATATTTGGCCGACATGTAACGTCGTTTGCCGATATTACTTTGGTGGCCGATGTACTCGCGCCTTCTTCTCTCTCTCTCTCTCTCTCTCACTCAAACCACCAACTGGCGCCCTCTTTTCCCGAGGACGAGGACGACGACGACGACGACGACGACGTCCGCCATATACTCCAACGCCCTTCGAAAAAAGTGCTTCTGCGCCGCACTGTAAAGGACAGTGAGAGAAAAAAGAAGAAAAAGAAGTAAGCGGTGGAGAGACGATGTAAAGAGAGGTTTCTACGGGAAAAAGAGCAACCGCAATTTCGCCACACAATCGTGTTTCTACCGGCGTAAAGAGAGATGGAAAGAGAGAAAGAGAAATCTGGGGGTAGGGAGGGGGTGGCTCGGATAAGAAAGAAAACATAAAGAAAGAGAAAGATAGAAAGAGTGGGCATAGGATGGGGGTAGTTTTTGCCACGGTCAACGCTGACCGCAGCACTGGACACAGCAATACCGAGTTCCTCCCGGTTTGGCATTTTACGGAGCCATTCGAACAAGATGGTGCGTGATAATGGCGCCTTATAGAGGAAAAGCAATTTCTACCCGCAGAATATCGTGGAGCTTGGAGCAGCTCTCGCACTCCTGCTGTTACTACTACTACTACTACTTCTACTACTGCTAGTGGTTACCATCATCACCATCACTGTGTGTTCGGCTTAGCTTTCGGCATGCCGCTGCTATTATGTCAATTCGCGCGCTCTTCGAATTAACGACGAATACGAGGATCGTTTAGCCGACGACCACGCCTTTAATAAAAGGTCTGTTAGCGAAAGGATGTTCATTTCTAAAGTATCACCTGGCTATTATGGTTCTGTTCCTTATAGGAAACTAAAGAGTCCTTTTGCGCGTTTAAGAGGAACTAGAAAATAAATCGATCAATTTTCTAGAAACGTAATCCTAGTATATATATAGTATTAATGTATCCATAAAATATAATCTGATATCCCGAGTCGAGGAAAAAATATCGAACGCGTAGATGGATAATTGATCTGTAAAATAGTAAAAAAAAAAGTAAGAAACAACTTTAATTATAATATATCGTCGAATGTTAGAAGTATACCAAGGAATTTGTTGCGTTCTGGAGATTGTTGACCGTAAAACAGTGGTAGGAAGATTACGAAAAAAAAGGGTAAAAAGGGGAAAAGAGAGGAAAAGAGAAGAAGAGAAAAGAGCTTCGACGTGTATGTGCGGCTTTAGCGATGTTCACGAGCTTTACGAGCACAGCAGTCACGGGTACTCGTCGCACGACAGCTCTCAGCCGTCGTCGTCGTCGTCGCGTGAAAAGACCGACGTGTAATATTTCTTTCCCACTCGACGCTGTACGACGCTGTCGCTTCGTTTGCCACCATAAATCTGGCATTTATTACGCCCGGCCGATATGTGTTTATATCCCTTTATCGAAAAACGTAGATGCCTTACTCCTCTTTCTCTTCGAAAGCGGATTAAGATTCAATGCGGATTTCGGATTATTCTATTTTTCTACACGATACATTTCTATTACACACACACACACACACACACAAACTACAAAGAAAACAAAAAGATATGATATTAAAATAATAAATTGTCGACGTGTATTAATCTATACGATCAATAAAATACTATTATTTATTGAATTGCTATATTAAAATTGGCTATATCTAAGCCAACGACATGACCACCGTCGTCTGGGTTCAATGAACTTTCCCTCAATCTTTCAAATATGAAAAGACATTCCACTTAAGTATCCTTAATGTAATAACATCTAATTTATACTAACGATCTATCGAAAAAAAATCTTTAATAGAAATCTAAAGTGTGTCGAGATTCGTATATGTATATCTATTTTAAGTAAATACTTTTAACATATTTATGAGAGACGGATATAAAAGTGATAATCGATACCCTATGTCTGTGTCTACGAGGATACAAATAGGAAAATTAAAATAGAACTGTTAAGGTGAAAATTTTACAGTCGTTTTAAATTCATACTTACAAACAAAAATGACAGCTTTTTTTTTACAGCAACTCAGTTATTTTTCTCTGCGAAAGAATAAAGAAACTTATTATAAGAGAGAATTTCAATTAAAACATAATTGAAAGAATGATCCGTTAATTTTTCAACATCCTTATACGATCATTTCAATTAATTCTAATATCTTAATTAATATTCATCATATATTTATTAGATTACAAAAAAAAATTAAAAAACAAGTTTTGTTTTCTTCGTAATCCGAGATAGAGAGAGAGAGAGAGAGAAAGAGAGACGTATGCAAATAAGGTAAAAAACAAAAGAAAGGAAAAAAGATGAACGTCTATTTAGGAATTATTAAAAGTAACAAATATATCAACGTAAGGTAATAGAATTAAAACCTTAGCCGACAGTTTCGATCGTTCCAAATCGTAACTGGTGATACGATATATCTGAGTAACAAAAAGTAAATAAAAGAAATGAAATATGACGAACAGTATTATATCTCCAACTCGTCGTCTGTGCCCGATCTTTTAGCAAATCGCCGCAAGTCCGCGACATTTGGAGAAGAACTTAGGATAAGAGAAAGAAGAAAAGATAATAGAAACATGGTGCGGTGAAAGAAGAAGAAGAAGAAGAAGAAGTAGTAGGAGGAAAAGGTAAGTAGCAAGGTAGAGGTAGAAGTAGAGGTAGAAGTAGAGGTAGAGGTAGATAGGTAGGTAGGTAGGTAGGTAGTAGGGGGATGTAGAAGGCTACCAGATATAAATTTCCTGATATTCGACCGTTCGTGTCGTTTGAAATGGGGCAGTTTTCTCGGGACCTAATGGTTATTGCCTTTCTCGGCGGACATATTGCGTTCCATCCAATGCAATGTGTGCGGCCGATATATCAGGGCTCTTCGCTCTCTCGGGCTCATACTCTCTCATTCTCTCTTTCGAATAAGGGTAGCTAGCTGTCGGTTGGGGGCGTGGATGAGAGAGAGAGAGAGAGTATGAGAAGGAGGATGAGGAGGAGGAAGAGGAGGAGGAGGAGGAGGAGGGGGTAAAGGATAGAAGTGGGAGAGATGTCGAGCGCGCAGTTACCGGAAAGCCTTCCACAACGGAGCAACGGCAGTCTGCCGCGTGGTGGTCGTGCCCTGCCAGACTGCAGACGGGAAGTGGCCGAGGTGTGGCCGCGGAGTTGAATTATTACAAGCTGCCCCGCCATTCATACAGGATGTATGTCCCCCTCCGACCCCTCCCCAACGCTCCCGAACCCGCGACCACCGTAAATCTTCGATGCTACGTCAGCCCTCGACTTCTCGCGCAAAACCCAACGTCCCTCCTTCTGTCTCTCTTATGACCTCTTATTATCGTACGTAAGCATGGGGGTTCTATGTAATAACTTTGACTTATCCCACCGATAGCTGATTTTTCAATCCCCATTAGCGAGTTTCACGAGTTTTTCGTTGCTCTCCTCTTCTTGTTGGTTTATCTTTTTCTTTTTTCTTTCTGTAGTCCTTTCTCTTCCTCTTTCGATGATTCACCGACTGTGATTAATGATCCCACGGGATGGTTTCTTTTCTTCGATGTCGATTGATACTCGAGGATCCCTACGAAAGAAAAAGAGAAAGAAAGAGAACGCTCAGTCATTTAAAATACCGATGGAAAAGTCATAGTTGGAAAAATGATTGGTAACGTTGTTAGGAAAAGTAGAGATAAGATAACGAGGTAAAAATATGTTGAACGTTTGGTGAAAATGTTCCGTGAACCGGTTTACCAACCGATCTAAGATTATCCTAAGGAAAATCGATAAGCGACGTTTAGGATCGTCCTTTCTCATTACGATAACGCGCTTCTGATATAAGGGAGATGAGAGGGAAAGAGGTGGGGATGTTAGAAATGGAAGTCTCGTTTCCGTTTTAGAGTTTTGCTACCGTGAGCATGGTCTAAACGGTACAGTCCGCGAAAAGCTTTTAAAGTCTGAAATATTCAACGAGTCGACGGCGTTCCGTTTCCATCGGAATATACCTACACACTCTCGGAAAGCAGATCGTAGTGATAAAAATGGGATGGGATAGGATGGGATGAGAAACGCGGAAAGAGGAGAAGGAAGAGGAAAAGAAGGAGAGAGAAAGATCGTCGAACTTATTCCGAAACGAGCTGTCCGGCAAAGCGGTATCAACCAGTTAGCAGATTCCAGAGATCCGGTAGCAAATGCCGTACAATCTTGAGTTCTTCTCTCTAGGTTGGAATAGGACAGGGGATAACTGTCTAAAGATGCCGAGCACGTATCGACAAGCTGGTCACCGACGCGCGCGCTCGATCCTAACCTCAAATAGAAAGAAAAAGAAGCAAAAAGTAAAAAAAATAGAGAAAGAGGTTTTCCCTTGCCGCTTACACACAAGCCGCCACCATCACCTTTCCCCCCCCTCCCCCATTGCCGTTCTCCTCCTCATCCACTTCCTCATCCACCTCCTCCTCCTCCTCCTCCTGCTCAATCTCTTTTCTATCCCAGCCATTACTATATTCAAGCTCTTTTACAACGGTCAGCGCTCTCTGATGCCAGAACAAATCTCAACGGCGACTATACTCCTCGCGCGTACTCCAATTTAACTAAATCCTTTCCGTTTCTCCTTCTCCTTCTCCTCCTGCTCCTGCTCCTGCTCCTTCTTATCCTTTTCCTTTTCCTTTTCCTTTTCCCCTTTTCTCCCTTTTCTCCATCCTTTACGGCGTAACCTACCGCTTCTTCGCCTCCCGTTCCGCCACGCTCGACGAGAGAGCCCATACGCGAAGATAAGATTGGAAAAGTTGTATGAGGGGCAACTTTAACAGCTATATAACCATTACAGTGCCGATAAAGTGGAATCTAGTGTCTTAACGGTCTGGAACGAAATTCCAGATATAGCATCGTATATTCCAATGGAGTTAAACACGACGTTCAGATACTACTTTCTACCCGGTTCCCTCCGAGAGCAGCTACGCGACGGTTTATTGACCGATAGATCCCTACAATATCGGAATTCTTCCGTCGGTATCTCGCGTTACGCGCCTTTTATGAATTCTCCCGTTCCCTGCCATAAAGGGTTCTACTCTTCTGACGAACGTACATACGTTTTACTCGAATAATTTTGTCCTCAAAGATTAAGATCGTTTCTCTCTATCTCTATCTCTCTCTTTCTCTCTCTCTCTCAATATTTTCTTTCTTATCGGTTATAAACCGTTATCGTTCGAAGCTTAGAAGAATAATCCTTAACGTTCCGTAATCTTTTTACGTCAATAATAGAAATATCATTCTTAACCCGTCGTCATTATAATTTATTACCGATATAAATTTTCATTTGAAATTATTATTTTCAAAAATAAGCACCTCAAACAATATTATATCGACGTAACGTTCATATGTATTTAGATAAATGTTTATGCATAAACGCATAGTGGACTACGTTATATACGCATATAACGTACACTTAAGAAGAGACGGAAACAAAATGAGTGAATGAAAAAGAAAAAGAGATAGAGAGAAAGAAAGAGAGAGAAAGAGAGAGAGAGAGAGAGAGTATGGGATATGGTAAAACGTGTTTGTGCTTCGGGCTAAGCTTGCCATAACTCACCAACAGGACTGACAGCTTGCATAATACCCGCGAAATTGGTTTTATAAGACGACGCCGAGCACTGCTTCACAACAATGCCATAAACGCTCTCTGGGTAAATTACGATTCAGTGGCGCAAAAACCTTGGAGGGGAGAAACGTTGTATGCGTAGGTAGAACGTTATTCTCGGTGTACTCTTTCTCTCTCTCTCTCTTTCTCTCTCTCTCTCTCGGTTAAACAGAAAGAAAAAGAGAAAGGGAAAAAGAAAGAGTATTTAAAAAAAAAAAAAAAATTCAAAAAGAAAGAAAAATATTTAACAACGGCGCTTCTTCGAATATATTTGCGCAATGAGAGGAATAGTATTCGTTCTTACGTTCGTGCACATTGTATATCAATGCTATTTAACGCCTACTTCCTTTTATTTCTCTTATCTTCTTATCAACGAACGAAAATGTATCCGTAAACACTGAGAGACAGGTATCTCGAATGTTCAACCTCTGAGAGAAACGAGTAAAGATCCATACGAGTTTTTACAATTTATGAATAATCAACGCGCGACGATATGATGATAGTAACAAGAGAGAAGGAGAGAGAAGAAAGGTAAAATTATGATATGAAAGAAAAATGTCTTTGTTACGAGACGTCTTCGAGTCATAGGACTTTATGCCGACGAAAGACGCTGAGTTGAAATTTATAGTTTTGTTAAAGAGAGAAAGAGAGAGAGAAAGAGAGAGTCAATGTTTTCTACGGGATGTGCGCACGTATGCTATGATTAATGGCCGTATCATAATTCCACGCAGGTGAAGTCATTCAGTTTGCTACCCTACACGTTCGAGGAGTCTTCATTCTCGTGTCACAACGAAGAATTATTATCTTTCTTTCTTTCTTTCTTTCTCTCTCTCTCTCTCTCTCTCTCTCTCTCTCTATCTCTCTTTCTCTTTCTATCACAGTTTTAGGAGGGATTCATAAAGCATTCGCGGAAACGGTAAAAGGAAAGAACAAAAAGGAACATACACACACACGCGATATCTACGTTCGTTCACTTTGATTTAGCAAAGCTTGTAAATCTCTTACGTTTATACTGCGAGAGAGGAATTAGATGGCAAGGCGCGAATATAAATTCGCGAACGCGATAAAACCCGCTGACCGTAGGCGACGACAACAAGTTCGATTAAAACGTATCGGGGCAGGCAGGCTTGTTGCATTCAACAAAATCACGCGCGAAACTAGATTCTACAATATGCGTGGGTGTCCAACAAAACCGTCATCGCATTGATACTTTTCATTTTGGATTACTACATGAGAAACAAATTAAAACGAAAAAGTTCAATTCAATAAGTCCGATAAAGGATCAAAAGTCTAATCGATTGCGGCATCTTATGTTTTAATCAATTTGTTATTGCAATCATTGAAGAAAATAATATTTGTTAATAATTAAAAATCGGTTAGGCTCGAATAAAAACTTTCGGAGATAGACTTGTAACGAGCGATTAAAAATGTGATTAATGAGAGGAGATAAAAAAAAAAAAGAAAGGGTAATAAAAATAAGATGAAAACTCCGAAGACGGTACAATATTCTCCGCCCAAGTTTCATATCCACATAATGTAAAAGAAAAATGAAGTCGGAAAGTGGCACTCTGGTCGTAAACTCGTGGAGCTCGGAGCCAAGAGCAGAGCTATACAACTCTCTTTCTCTTTCTCTTTAGTAAGGTAGAAAACGGTAAGGGAGGAGGTGGAGAAGGTCGTATCGAAGATTACAGTCCGTCGTTATTTTGTACACGCGCGATAATCATAAAGCTCGCACAAAGAGCCATTATAGTTAGGCGCGCGCGCGCGCGTGCGCGCATTCATACCGAGGGTACGTCCATCCGTGGGTATAGAGGTAGGGCACGGTGAAACGCGTACGAAAACTGCCCGAAGATCACCCTTATACTCGTGGTAAGTAGCGGCTATGAGTCGGTTGGATGTGCACGGCATCGTTGTAAGTCCGCCTGCAAACGACGGAATTATTCAAATGGTTCGTGGTTGCAAACGGTTCCGCGTACGTTACCGTGGTGACGACAAGAGAGCGTGAGATAGTGTTAGATACCTATATACAAGCGAACGAGCAAAATGCAAGCGCGTTCCACAACCAACGTTGAACGTTGAACATTGAACGTTGGAAGAGACCGTGGATAGTAGTAACTCTAGCCAGTAGAAAAGAAAAGAAGAAAAAAAAAAAAAAAGGAACGGGGCTTTTGGATATTTCTCTAGCGATAAATTGCCGTCGATATCGTGGCCAATTTCCTGAATGCGTTTAAGATGTACCCGTATCCCCGACGTTTGCTTGCCGTACTACCGGAGTCGATAATATACGGCTTGACAGTTTAGACGCGGTATATTTCCTCGCCGCGGTAAAGGTTTAGCAATACGAGCTCGAATCAACCGAAACACTTGCAAACATTTTTAAAGAGTTTATCCCCCTTTTATTTTTGTTCTTGTTGTTGTCCTATCATAAGGCAGGTCGAAGAAATTAGTAAAGGAGAAGATGTTTTTTTTTTGTTTTATTTTGTCAATTAATTCCAATTTTTAGTTCTTGTCTTAAATATCGAGCCACTGTTTTTTATATCCGAAACATGACGGACCTTTGGAAAATTAATCGATCGCGATTCCATATACGCAATTCCACAAAACCCGGACAGAAATTCCAAACGTTAATGGTACGTTTGAAAACGGGTCATTCATAAAAAGGAAAAAAAAGGTTGTCTGGCAGCTCGGCCAGCGTATATTTAAATTAGAGTTCGTGTTATGAGCATGTAAAGCGACGAAGCGCAGAGTCATTACACGACCGTGCCCAGCAGTCATTATGTTCGTTCTGATTTGCTCCGCTCATTCACGATCATTCCGGCGTCATGTCGATGAAAAATGAACGATCGTTCGTCCCGCGATAATGGCTATCCCACTATACGTGTACATACATACATACCTATCCATATATATACGTATATATACACGTATAGATACGAACGAATCGACGCGCATCGATCCTCACGTTTCCACTTTGAACAAAACCGTTAACGTCACTCGCCGTGAATCCGCTTTATACGTTTCACAGCTAAAATATTCTCAATGTGGTCGTTTAAAACACGTTCGTCTCTTTAGCATCTTGATAGGAAAGAGAAGGTAACATCGATGTGATATATAAACGTGCAACAAGACAAATTTTCAATATCGAAGTACAGTTAAAAGAAAAAAAAAAAAAGAACAAAATTTCACTGGAGTCGAGAGAAAAATGGAGAATATAGAAAAAAAAAAAAAGAAAGAAAGTAATGAAAAGAAACGGGTAGCAAGGAGTGAATAGCTAACGGTGATTTACCGAGCATCAGATTACCCTGTGCAACCCTTACATCACTAACCAACCCCCTTTAGCCATCCACGGAAAGTTGACGTAGAAAGCAACGCATACGGCCGCCCACGCCGCAATAAACGAGCCAATTAATATTGTTTCCCTCGGCCGGGTTCTGCTGTCCTTGACGCCTCGCCGGTTCATCCTTGCTTACGGCTGAATAATTACGGCAACATCCGGTGGATGAAGGATCGTGATAAGTCGACATTACCGACCGACTAAACTCTAGAACAAACGATCGAAAATCAGAAGGGATGAGATGTTTGCTTGAGTTTTCCCTCTATACTTATACATTCGTATATTACACAAACAATAATTAACTTTTCCAATTGAAGTTAATCTTTCGTAAATCGCGTTACGTCTATTTAATATATTTGTAATTATTTGTTTGAAAAATAAAGAAAAACGTTCACCTAGAATATATATATATATTTTTGTATATTAAAACTGAGTTTCAATCTTTTCCACGTAGACGAATTAATCCTTTAAAAACACACTTTTAAACAAAGTCTGCAAAATCGAATGACGATAAACTGTTATACGCCCTAAGGGCATTGAACCTTGTTAAAGGGATAATTAAGTCGCCTCGCAAATTTTCCTCGGCGAGACGAACTCCAGAAAGAATGAATACCCGGCGCTTTCTCTTTTTCATTATCCGAAATATCGGTGCAGCTCACGAAATTTCGCCATACCCTATAGCCAGAAACCCTGCAATCGTCGGACGGTCTTTCATAAATATTTAAATCGCTTACCCATCGGCGCTTACAATAAATCTGCCTTTATGCTCTCCGAAGGCATGCCTTAATCATAAGCATGGGCATAAAATTCATCCTGCATTAAGAAATGTTACATCGGCGTTGCCGATCGTATATTAGAAAACAGTAGTAGTCCAAGCTTTCTCGATTCTTTATAGACCAAGTGTCTACGAGTAAAAGCATTCGAGCGATAATAGATAATCTTTTCTTTTTCTTTTTTTTGTGCAATTAATATAAATATACTAAATTTATTAGTCAGATCATTTTCGATCGTAAATATTACTTTTCCGATTTCTTTTCCGTCATTAAAATAAGAAAAACAATTACAATTTAATCGATCAGATTGTATTACCTCTTTCGAATAATTCGCGAAAGTATATAAAAAGAATAAAATAGAAGAACTTTGAAGAAAAAAGAAAAACAGTGACCGTAACACGGCAGTGATTCTGGCACTCGCACCGATGTTAGTAATCTCCATCAGACTTGGCGTTGTTTTAATGCGCTGCGTGATTCTGTGCCGGTCTGCTTGATGAGCCTTCCTAATAACCAGTCGCTCACACGTCTGCCCTTCTCTTCCCTCGAACACCCTCGAACACCCTCGACATCGGGCTAGCACCACCTACACGAACCGACCCCTTCTCGACGAGCTGCGAAACTGTGGCATGTCGGCTTCGCATCAATCTTGTTAAATTACCCGCCGGGCCAGGAGTCGTTCTTTCGCTCGTGGATTGATAAATTGCCCGATCCCGTCTTCCGCAGACACGTAACGCTCGACCTCGAGACAAGAGAGCGAATCAACGAGAAAGACAGGGAGAAAGAGAGAGAGAGAGAGAGAGAAATGGGAAGAGAGACAATCAGAGAAAGAGAACAAACGAGAAACAGAGATAGAGAGAGTCAGGTCCGAAATACGGCGAAGAAAATCAAATTAACGTACACGGCTCCTCTGGTTTCTGACGCTCCGGATCGCCACGGTTATCCGCATTTGGAACCACTGCCAAAGTGTCCTTCAACGATCAAGACAGCTGAGTCTACGGTCGCGAGGTCGATGATAGATCGTAGCTTACTGGAAAGGCATCTATTATGGCCGTCGTACAGGATTGAGTGATTATAGGTTTAAGAACGTGACCTCTCCTTGCGTTCCTTTCTTCCATCAAACGTTCTTCCTTCATCACGTGGACTAACTTAATATCAAACCGACATGAAGAAGACTCAATCAATCGATTTCTTTTAATTCTACCAGGACGAAAGAACAAAGTCACGGTGCAGTAATTTTCATTTCTTTATTGCCTCAAAATTATTCACAAATGTATCTGTACAAGAGAAAACATTAAACGAGATTTGATCGTATAACATGAAACACATTTCATATTATTATAGCGATTTTACGTTTACATTAAATGAAACGTATCTTGGTTTCGTGGATACCCAACTTTAATTTACGAGCTGGTATCCCACTCACGAACCACGTTACCTGCTTACCTTAGATCTTAGCATCTTACCAACTCGCCCGAGTCGGAACGCGTCCAATCGCCTTCGGCTGCGCGATATGAAGATAACTATCGGCTCGTAACACCTCTTGACTGTGCCGAGAAGGAGCGTATGCGTTGCAAATAGAGAGGGAGAGAGAGATGGGTATCCACCTAGACTCGGATCTCGGGATAAGATAGAAAGAAGGCCAACTAAGCCATTGCTGATAGCGTCTCTAAGCTCGTGTGGACCGAACAGCTCGTGAAGCGCCACTGGCTAATGGTTGGTCCGCGGCTTTAACACGACAACGCGACCATGTTGAGTCGGACCAAGGTAATCCTTACATATGGCTCAGAGATTCTCTAGGATTAGGAAGGCGCGAACCCATTGTGTGTTCCCTCTCTCGTTTCAACTTGCTCCGTTCGTTGAACAGCTTCCTGCACCTTGGTAAGTTCTCGACATTACAAACATCACATTCGGAACACCGATTAGAAGATATCCTCTAACTCTCCTTCTCTATCTTTCTCTTTGAAAACGTTTTACACTCGACTTATCAATTCTTAACTGTGAGTGTGTAAGAGTACTCCACGTTTATACGCAGCATCGTGAATTTATTACAAGATTCTTCTAACAAATTTTATTCACGCGAAGATTGAAGGTAACTGCGAAAAAAATCTCAAACAATTTTATTAACTGTTGAAATCCCTTAACACGAGACGACGATACCAGATGAATTGGTTGAGTCAAGGAAAGCATTGAGTTTCGGTCGTTGATCAATTGGTTTCTTGAATCTTTTACCGAGGAGCACGCGCGCTCACGCCTTCGGGAATCAAGTGGCTAAGAACGGAGAAACATAAATATTCAAGGCTCGTTTTTGCACAATACGCAAAGTGGTAGCTATAACGTATCGTAGTTGGTCCGTACACCCTGGCAGGATTCTCGAATGATAAATGGCTTTTGGTGGACTGGTTAATGAGTCGGGCTAGACTGACTTATATAACGACCCTACCTTGGATTTTCCAGCGCGAAACGAGTCGGTACCCTCCTTCTCTTTCTTGGTTCTCTCTAGAAGAGAGAGAGAGAGAGAGAGAGAGAGAGAAAGAGAGAGAGAAAGCGAAAAAGGACGCTATGCAATGCGCGGGAGTAGCCCGCGCGTATCATCGTTACAACTCCCCGCTCATTATTCAAACTTACCGCGTTCCATCTATCTCAGTTTTACATCGCAAGGAGGATGTGAGCTGCGTGACGACGTCGTACCGGCTCGAGAGATCCCCCGGCATGCATTATTCAAAATTTCATATTGAAATTGCACGAGCAACGGCGGTGTACTCGGCTACTGCCGAGTACCGCCACCGCCACCGCCGCCATCGTCGTCGTCGTCGTCGTCGTCGTCATCGTCGTTGTAGTTGTTGGCAGCGTACAAGGAAATGGAAACACATTTTATCTTTCGTCACAGTGACAGCCAACAGTCAACGACGTCATTCTTGACAGAGAGACGCTGTTATTTTATATATCTTACAAATATACTTGCCATCTTCCTCCGGCACGCCGATCGAATGCTTTTCTTCTCTCGTAAAAACACAGGCATTTGCCTAACGAACCATCCATCCGATATTTTTCACTTCCAGACCTTTTTCCTTTTCCTTTTACTTTTGCTTTTCTTCCTTTCTCTCTGTTTTCTCCCTTGTTCGGCCGTCGTCAATGCGAAGATATACAGCGGAGTAAATAATTAATTACCCATCTCCGCGCGTCAAGCAAAAACGGACCAGAGGAAACAATTAGCCCGTGAAACCGGTTGATTAAATGCTACTCCGAGGTGATATTTAACGCCGATGAAGATGTGGGCTCTTGAATACCAAGTATTCTTAACATAGTATACCTGCTTAACGAACATCCATCTCGTCCAGGTGGATATACCGAATCGAAAAAATGAACAATGTATCATACAATCTTTCTTTCTTCGCTCGTACAAACAAACGGAATAATAAAGGCTCTCCGGTTCCTCGAAGGAAAGTTAATATCATCGCGATAATAGAATCGCGAAGAATGGGTGGAAAGAAATACGAACTTTTTTACTTTCGCTAGACGTTAGATGCTACGAGTCGCGAAATAGGAAAAGGTCAATCGCGAAATAGTGTCAACATCGCATTGAGCGTCCGATTGAGCAACTCCGCGCTTTCATTCCTTAGTTATGGTAACGCATGCCCATTACCTCGTTTACTGTCCCCCCGGTGACGTAATGCCAAGGTGCGTACCCATACCTGTTTCGAATAATGCACATGGCGAACAATGACATGCGGTGATGTATATGGGTTACGGGTCTAGCAGCTGTTGCTCTCGACAACTGGTTCCTCACACTCCTGTGAGCACTCACAATATCACAATGACGTGCAAGCACTTGTGACAGCATCGTGTGGGTACTACATACTACACTGGAGTTTGTATTACAAGCGCTTGGCTGCACGCAAGGATGGCGAGAGCGACTCTTGACGGTCGCCTCGTAAAACGTGCGCGCGCGTACATACAACCACTGCCTGCCTCTTCGTGTCGAATGTTGGCCACACACTCTCTCTCTTTCTCTCTCGTACCAGGAGAATAGATATTTCCAAATCAAACGAGCATGAAAAGCAGGGTGCACCTTCCATTTAGAGACTTTCGCCTTTTGTTGGCCGATATAAAAGAAGCATCGTTATTTTCGATTTGTCTACTTGAGCTACTTCGAAACACGACGCCCCTAAGAGGAGAATCATGAAAGCCCCCCGAGAGAAAATCTGATGTTTCGCGATACGCGTCAATCTTCCTGACGCTTCGTTGAGTACTAATTATGAGTTCTTGAAAAGCGAAAGCCATGGGTGGTATAGTAACAACGTTAAACATTCCTTTTTTTTTAGTCGTGAGCAACGATTGTTTCCGGCCGTATGTAATTCCGAACATTTTACCATTACTTTCGCTCCAATGATTGCTCACAGGGTGTTCAGGAGTGAGAGGGAGTTGTTTGAAAAATGAATATATCTTATGAAATAAAAATGAAATTAAAAAGAAAATAATAATAATAATAATAATAATAATAATCCATTGTTATATTTTTGTTCGTTCTCCTATTTTTTATTCTTTCGGACAATCCCCAAGGTGTCAGATCGATTAATGAATTTAACAAGACTTCGCGAGCGAATTCACCGCGATTCAACGAGAAGTTCAATTTAGGTGGATACCACAGATAGACCCTTTCACGTCGAACTTAATGTACTATGGTTTGTAAACCCTTGACAGCTTTACCCTTCTCGATAGCCATGCGCACGCTGCTGTAGGGTCGTATTCCCGTGCTATCGAGCCTGGATCACATCACGTCGCGTCGGATCGCGTTACGCTCTCGACACTGATCGGAGATTAGCGCTCGCCCAGTTCCTCTCTCCTCTCTCTCTTTCTCCCTTTCTCTGGCTCTCTTACTCTCCTTTCTCTACCGTCATCCTCTCTTCCTTGCACTACCCACCACCATCCATCCAATCGCATTCAAATCACGTACAAAGAGCTCAACTTGAGAAGTTCTCTCTCTTCATTTCTCTCTCTCTCTCTCTCTCTCTCTCTCTCTCTCTCTCTCTCTCTCTTGGTAACCGCACTGCTGGTGCCTTGGCCTATCTGACAGCCGTATCTAACGGATTTTTAACGACCCTTTGTTAGCCAAAAAGAGCGTAAGCACCTGATAGTCCCGAACGCTGTCGTTTTCTTTTACCATATTCTCGCTGCTGAAAAACTTCACAGAGGAAGAAAGAAAGAAAATAATAGAGGGAAAGAGAGGCTCTCGATCAGGATACCGGGAGATCTCATCCCGGAGATAGCCACTTAGATCGGCTTTGAAACGCGAGATGCGTAAAGAGTTCCTCGCCATTTTTTCTTTCCTTACCGCGAGTTTAAGTGTGGACAAGAAAGTGAATGAGATAGAATGAGAGAGAAAGAGAGAGAGAGAGAGAGGAAAGCCGGTATACCGGCTAAAATTCGCCCAAGAAATATGCAAAACGAGTCGAGAAACGATATTCTTTGCTGCGGTTTAACGTCGATGCGATTCAACCGATGGATTTATTAATCTTTCGCTTTTATACCTTTCGCGAGAACTGGCACTCTCTTTTGAATTATCCATGGGAGAATTATACGAAACAAGTTTTAGGGGAACTTCTTTCGGCAGTTTAATGCCTCGGGAGGGCGACTCGACGGAATTCTTAAAACGTCGAGTCTCGAACCGACTACTCGGAATGGAATTGCTCCTATAACATGACGTTGTTTTTTTTTGCATTAGCTGTTTTCCTAAACTTCTACCTCATGTCATTTCTAATATTTGTTTTTTCTTGTTTTTTTCTCAA